TTCCGCATATTTGATGTTCAAACAACAATTTTTAAGGATTTGATGATAGTTTCTGCCTAAGAAATGCCCAAAATCGTGAACTTTGGAGGCTGCTTTCTCGAATACTGGTCTTTAGACCGCTGTATGTTAAACTCCTGTAACTTCATAATGAAATGTCGTATTTAAATTATTTTTTTAATTACCATTTTATAGCTATATTTTACCGTTTAACCCTGTAGGCCCTATTAATAACTAAAAATCGATTTTTGCGAGGGCCGGGGTGACTGGTTTGACTTGTCTTTGCCACAAATAGTGACATGAAAATTAATTCATTGTTACAAACGTTATTTAAGATTTAATTTATTTGTATTTAATTGATACCGGTAGGCCGTACTAGGCCCACTAAATCTCTTTGCATCCCATACACCCAATTGAAGGGTAATTAATATTTAAGAGTTTTATTATTAAAACATCTGTTAAAATTGGTAAAACCTACCTGTTATTTTAAAGTGTTTAATTCATTTTAAATGAGCAATTTAATGTATAAATTGATGTGCGGGGTATTCTTGATTAAAACACTGCTGTAGGCCTAATCGGATCCAAATACTTTTTAATTTCTTCCAAACTAATTATTCAGTTTTAAAACAATATAATATTATCACCTTTCATTAAAAACAAACTACTGTATTGTCTTTCAGAATTCATAGCCGTTTACCAATTAACACCGTTACAATTAGCATAATTTAATAAAACCTTTAATAAATGCGGTTGTCTAAATAAATTTGGAATATCTGTAGGCTAGTCTGGAGAATATTATATTCTAGAAGTTATAGTCTTCAAATTCAGGTTATCATGGTTTTGCTCCAGGCTGAATTTAGAGGTGGATGACCGGTGTTTCCACCTCTATTTGACGGTAAAAATGAGACTTTGAGGCCATGAAAGTCTGCATTTATCGGAGGACACACTGGACCTGGCATTGAACTTTTGCTTTGTTACGTGTAAAATGCCGACTTAGGCCTATGTATTTGAATACGGTATATTATAGTGTACCAGTACCATACCTAATATGAGGTACCGGTATAGTAATAGAGCTATACGCACGTAATTGCATTGCTATTGGATTGGATTTGGATTTATGCAGTGTAAACACCAAGCATAGCCCACGAAAGTCTAGAAGAAGACTTATTTTCCAGTGGAGTCAGCAGTACACCGGGAGACAATCCCCTACTCTTTTCCGAAGAGTGTACTGCGTTCTTTAACGTGCACATGGGCAATCAATGCACACGGAACCAACGGCTTAAACGTCTCATCCGAAAGACCGTACGCTATCATAACTTGTATTTCATTCCTCCAGCTGAAATACAAGGAGAGGCAGCGATGGGAATTGAACCGAGGACATAGAGATCTCCACGGTTCAGGCACACATAGTGGCTACCACCAGATTAGCCGACTGAGCTGAGCTGGCCTCTATATTTATAATGTTTAACTTGTGTATGGTTTAATGCAATGTTTTAAATCAAGTGGAGTTAATAAGAATTTAATGTTCAGGCCTGATATAACTTAATGCGCACCTGACTACAGTAAAAACAATCTTTTCACATTTTTAAAACGCTTCCGCTAGAACTTGCTGTAGTTCCTCAAGAACGTTTACGCTAAAAGATCAACCTTGGCTGCATGGACCACTCTTATAAAATATTGTTAAGATGAATAAATAAATAAATAAATAAAAGCTATAGCCACTACTAAAGTCAAGTACTGAAATGTTATTAGGCCTAATAATAAAGTGTTCTTGTTTAATTCGTGTCATTAGAAATTGCTATTAGTTTAATAAACTTTATAAAAATTCGAAAGCGAACAAAATGTTTACTAACATCCATGAGAAATATTATTATTATTATTATTATTAATAATAAAAAAATACTTATAATGGTCACATTATTAAGAAGACACAACAATAATTGTTTAATAATAATAATAATAATAATAATAATAATAATAATAATAATAATAATAATAATAATAATAATAATAATAATAATAATAATAATAATAATAATAATAATATTATTATTATTATTAATTATTTGTCTATAAAGTTGTCTTGTTCTGCCGAATTGTCTTGAAATTATTATCTTGAAAAATTCAAAAGACTAACCGAAGGAACAAGAAGTAATCCTATGCTAGTTTGTAAGTTGGACTATTCAAAAAGTACCGTATCGTAGCAAATAGACCTATATAATATTTGGGGACAGTGTAACCCACAACAGGATTAAAGCAAAGCTTCAGAAAAATAGATATGTTCTACAGCTGAATTTTATTAATACGCCAAAAGTTTTCTGAAACTCCCTCAGCGTCTTAGAAAGTTTATTTGTACAACATACAAAAAGACTGATAAAATAAATACCGATTTAAGATCATCGCTCTAATTAGAACTTTGGCATGACGTCATTTAGAGGTTTTGTACCGTATTGGTTTCGATCATGGACCATGTTTCGATGAGGCATGCTTTCATTTTCGATGAAGTTCTCCCGCCCGCGAAAGGTAAACCTACCGTATACAACGGAAAAACACGTCACAATTACTGTACTGATAGAATGTAAAACGGGAATTGGAAGAAATCCCTAGAAAATGCTCCAAGTACTATTTGAAGGGGTCATTGAACTGAAATTGTAAACGTGTTGTCGTGGTTTCTTTCTCCCCGACGACATTTCTTATAAAGGTTATGATAACATATATGATTTTTTCCATGTCAAATTGGTATGATCGAAACTAAGAAGAACGAATAAATACTGTTGGTCAAATCATCAAAATGCTACGATAACATGTGTCAATGATTAAATGTCCCAACATCTTATATTCGTTGTCAATTTCTGAGAAACATATAAAGATGATAGCAATATACGATCCTAATGCGTAACAGTACGGTATCTCTATTTTGTTGTTAATGACAGTTAATTAAAAAATATAAATATATTTTCACATGTGAAGTATTGTCAACGTCAGTTCATTCTCCGAGTTTCCTATAGGGCCTACTTCTGCCAAGTGATTTGGGCAATTTATCAAGTGGCCTATCATATTGTTTAATGTACAGTACAATGCTTACATTGTACTTAAACCGAATTATTCTATAATTAAAACAGACTAAAAGTTATAACTATTAATTATTACTGTATTATGTTTATTATTATTATTAGCCTATTATTATTCGCATCATTATTGTATTATTTCTATTTTCACAATTATTGTTATTACAATCATCATTTTTGTCATCATCATCATCATCATCATCATCATCATCATTGTCATCATCATCAATAGTATGATCTGTATATAATATCATTATTAGTGTTGTTATTAATAAAATATATTCTTCCTGTGTTAAGCTAAAAATCAAATACAAGTACAGTATTTGAATTTCTTACTGTAGGACTATATAATTAGATAAATGATAATGTCGTCTGTAATGTAAGTAATAAATTAGGTTTAATATTTTCTAGTACTAAAATTATTGACAGCTCCCGAAACTGGTCTATCCAATTGTTTAAAGAAGCGTTCGCTATACGTAGACTACACCCTTTGCTCAACAATGGGCTCAGAGCTTCACATGAGCTTTCTTTGTTTTTGTAGGTATCTTTGATCATTAGAGTAAGAATGCTTTGATCTTTTGTTTAAATCACTGCTATGTCACCTACTAGAGGTAATGTTTTGATTGGTTAAACACTTTTGGTACTAGTGCATTATAAGCTTGCTAATATGGATAATTTTTTCATTCCTGATGATGACATAATTAATGTCGAAATATTGAATCCCAACACGATGGCGTGTATTTCAATACTTGGAGTATGTATTATACTTTCCTATATAATTAGGTTAGGTGTATTTTAGAACGAGAAAACATTTATTAGATTAACTGGTAATTAATATACGATACACTGTTATTTGTGAAAAAAAATCAGTAAATCAGCAGAAGCTCTTTTTATGTGCCTTATTTATGTAAAGTTATTATTCTTTTCTGTAATCATTTATCGTGATAGGCTTATAATGCATGGCTTGGTAACATCAATATTCTATATGCTACAGAGCTTAAACCGTTTTTAAACATCTCTAATGATATACCTACTAGGATGAACATACGTATGTCAATTAAATTTAAAAAAAAAACACAACATTTTCAATGCATCAAACAAAATATTCTACTTTATTCGCATCTTTACATAAATCAATATTTTTTTAGCAATCTGCGAAAATACCAAACTGGAGTATTTACATCCGGGACCATCATTTGTGCAGCACTCGTTAATAATAATATTATTATTATTATTATTATTATTATTATTATATTATAACAATAATAATAACAATAATAATAATAATAATAATAATAATAATAATAATAATAATAATAATAATAATAATAATAATAATAATAATAATAATAATAATAATAATAAAAATAATAATAATAATAATGGTCAAGACATTTTAAAAAATTACCCGGCAATGTAATGTAAACTACTACCGTAGTCATAGACAATTTGCAGACCGTACACTTTTGCAGGGGGCACGTTTACTAATAAAGCTAACACTCTTTGATACGAAATAATAAATAGGAGCTTTAATTTAAAAAGTTTAAACTAAAATGAAATGGTATTTTTTTTCTAATGTACAACGGCACTATATACATGGTACGGTACTTTGTTTGACAATTATACAATAAAGATTGACAAATATACACGGAATGTAGTATACGACGTTTACTGGTACTTTTCATATATCAAAGCACCATTGACTTCATACATAAAATATTGTTGTTTTTAAAACTTCAATATGCACATAATGATATGCGTTGACATAAGTGCTTTAGTGACAGAATCGTAACTTGTTTCTTTAACATAGACATTACAAATAACGAATAAAATGATTGTTCATACATTTTTTGTTTAAAAAAATCTTGAATTTAAATATATGCCCTTTATATCCCGGTAGACTTATTTCCCCCCAGATGTGTATAAGAGGATATTTATACAACCTCCATATCATCTTCTCAAAATAATACCAAGAAGTGCAATAATACACACAGGGACATTAAGCGGTCCAGCACGAAGGTAAGCCTTGTCATATTTGATTCTATATTTTACCACATTCCAAGACCAACTTTGATTAGTCGCGTGTCCCTTTACAGTATCGTATTGTTTACATCAACATTAAGAAATTTTATTTAATCACTCTGTCACTTTATAACATTTAATATTACGATTGTTGTTTAGAAGGTTTTAACAAAAATTATAATTATTTAATATATAAAGCAATGTATTGTACCTAATACTTCCGGTATAGTTATGTTATTAACACTGGAATGAATTTGAGAGTCGTTTGTCGTCTGCATCAAGTTATCTTCAACAATGGCAAAAAATTACACTTTTATACCCTTATTATTTCAGTTTGAGGCTATCAACCCAAAATTATATAGGCCAAATGTCAGTTTAGAATATTTCATAACAGATTTCCATTAATCATATTATAATACATCATCATAATCATTGTAAGTTAGACCCAAATAAATTTTGAATTTTTTTTATGTAAATCGTTATGTGTGCATGCTGTTATAAAACTATCACTGATGTCGGCTTAAGCAACTTTATACACAGCATCACTCTATATTATCACACACCTAGGCCTATGTATATTATTAGTCATGTACATTGTCATTGTTGGAATCGCCCTTCACAAACCTGCCTGCCAACCATCAGAGATATTTTTGTAACAAACGACGTAACTTTATTTGTGGTCATCGAGGTGTTGCTAGGAAACATATGACGTAGTGTTACTACGCAGTTTTCTACGCCCGGTTCGGTTTCACCGTTGTTTATAGAGTATCGTTAATGAAATTGATATGGTTGGAAAATTAACGCAAGAATCTATCGGAGCCCGCAAAACAGGATTTATTATCATTTGTAGCTGGAATCTTATTCGGAATATCTGTGTCATAATCCATAAATAATGGACAAAGAAAAAAAAAATTATCGTGGTTTGTTTACTTATAATCGAGTGTCTTTGTTTTAAAATATCGTGCTTCATTTAACAGTTGACATACTATATAACCCATATGAAAATATATAAGAACAAATCTAAAAATATGTTCCGATAGAATTTTTGATTCGGAATACTGTACTTTGAATTAAAGGAGCAGTACACTCATTGTAACCACAGCTATTTTCATCAATTGAATTTAAAATTTGAGGGAAAAAAAGTTTAAATAAAATAGTATTTTATCGTTTAACCAATTTTAAACAAATTTATGTAATTATAGATCTAACATACGGTAAAGGTTCTAACCTACGGCTTTCCAGACATCAATATATCTTTTTTCAATATACAGTTGTCTATAAGAATGCTAAGACAATTTTCGCCTTTCGTATTCACCTCAAAAATAATTTCATTACATTGAATATACACATATATAAGAAAAATAATACATATCATTTTTAGCCCTCTATTTGCGTTATAATCCAGAATTTTAAACACTTTAACATTTGTCTTAGAATCACCATAAACCATAGCTTATATCACTTTATAAATGTTGATGTATTTTTATGAGTGTAAATTTATGTAACGTAGAAGTTGCGTTAATTTATTATTGACAAAATATATTTTGCATACAAACAATGTTGAAATCGTCTTGATAGATTTTTTCGCTGACTGTCATCTACATGATTTGATAATTCCATATGAAGGTCTCCTCTTAATCTAAATAAGGTTGGTTACCGACGTCGAGTTGTTGTTATTATTATTATTATTAAGTCCAGTGAGAGAAGTTGAGTTCGAATTTACCGGTGAATGTTCATTACTTGGGGGTGTTGGCATACCCCCAGTTGTCTGGCAAACATACCATTCGTTGAGGTTCGGTGGGTTTGACGTTATGGTAGAAATTACTGGTGTTATAGAGATGTCTCCAGCCGGCGATGCATTTGGTGACGCTTTGGGTGAGGAGTCTTCGAAAACTCCTGGTGGTGGCGGGGACTTACTGTGCACTTTCATATGCTTACGTAACGAGCTTGGATGGGTGTAACTCTTGTCGCAACCACGTACTTTACAATTGTATGGTTTATCCGAGGTGTGTACATGACTGTGCTTCTTGCGGTCACTTGAGTTTGCAAACCTTCGGTCACAACCTTCAAATTCACACTTGAACGGTTTTTCGCCTGCAAAAAATGGAGAAAAGCATCGTTATAATCATTACATCACAGACTGTAAAAATATAATTGTTATACGAGCCCAATGAAGTTTTGTTATGTTCATGAACTGGCATAAACAGTTCACCATAAGCTTTGACAAACACTGCCGAAAACCGTCGTTCTCTTTCATCTTCGTATTACGTGTAATATTTTTCTCAGCTTCTCAAATCCCGATTCCTAATACCAAATATGGAATCCAGTCTTTAACTACATCTGCCCCGACTTTTCTGCAGTCATCTTCATGTGTAATGGTGTATGTGACATTCAGAATTTGTACTTTATACTACAACGCTTCACAAGATGTTGTTTTCATTTACTTACATACATTTAAATAAGTTATTATAATAGCTGTGGTTACAGCATTGGAATTATACAGTTTATATAATTATTTATTTAATGTTTTTGAAGCTTTTTCTATATTTTATACCGTTTAATGCTACATAATACTATAATGCTAATGTTTAAATGTATAAATACCATCAACAACAAGAATAAGGTGACATCAGTGGGGTGGTCGCTTTTGAGTGAACAACATGATTGATACCAACTTAGTAAACCAATACAATAGAGAAATTAATTACAATGAAAGTAGTCTTAACGTCGTTGTGTACGCCTGAATGTGTAAATTAAAATATTTTGTCAACAAATGAAAAAAAAAATAACATGTTGTATACAAGTGGTTTGTATTCGCGTCAGCTGATGCGTCAGCATTGTTTAAATTGAAGGTTATTATATAAGTAATTAAAATCTATTTACTAACAATATCGTTTATGACAATCTTACATAATTTATCTTCTAGATACGACAGCTACCAGTTATTAGGCTTATATCCATTTTGCAATTCAAACGCGTGAGACACCACAAACACCTAATTTCATATTACACTCCAATTTATGATTGTTTGCATGCATATATTTAATATTGGTATCGATCATTAGCCATGGATATTGTATTAAACATAACGTGTTTTCTTCCCTTTGCATTGTGTGTATCATACCGTATTACTTTTGCTCTTAATTATTTTATCTAAATGTACAATAAAAGATGGTAATGTAAAATAAAAGTGGCCTTGAACTATATAAAATTAAAAAAAAAAAAAGATATTACGCCAACCAAAGTGTGACGCTTAAGAGAGTGATTGGCCTTGCATGTAGGACAGACTATCAGACAAGATTTCATGTTGTAACTTTTCTTTAACCTGTAATGATTATTCACGCATGCACGAGAACCAATCAAATCAAAGCTCTGTAAAATAGTAAGGGAAAAGGGGATCAACGCCAGGAAATGTAATTGCACTGCCACCTTCCCTCCGGCAGTTATGCTTCACCCGACTCTGTCTCTAGAACATAAACGGGGACCTCACACCAAAACCATATCGTACATCTTACAACTTCATGAAACATCTAATTTCGCCAATTTACTATACATTATTGATGGAAATTACAAGTTAAAGCTATTTTCTTTTCTTTTTTTTTTATTGAAAATCTAATATTTGCTTTGTTTAGGTTCGCTCATGCAAATTAACAAAACTATCTCATTTTAAATTTTAGATTTAAATAAATTAATTTATCAGGAAATGAAAAAGTCTGTTTTTGCACATGAAGAATCGTTGCAATGACAGCGCATTTCTATTTCCCGGGCTCTTTTTACCTACTTAATTTAATAGTATTAATTGGATTCACTTTCATATAGATCTAGACCTGGTAATAAATATACTACCTACATACATTGGTAATAACTGTTAAGGATCATCAATTTCCGAAATATTAAGTTATGGGTTACGTCACAATTACACATATAATAACAATTCATATGACATTTCTATCCTTGCACTTTACTTGTTTATTTAGTAAAACATCAATTATATATATAAACAGCGGCTAAATGACGAACTGTGCATATTTAATAAAGAAAATGTGATTACGTTCGACTTATCGAATTGTGGATGCGTTTTTACTATAAATTAATTGCAGGATACTAATGTAAAGTTAGATCAATTATTTGCTTCTCAAAATGGTTAAACACGAGATCGTACATGATCGTGACAAATGTTCTATTATGGTAAGACATTCTTTGGTTGAATTGTCATGACTTTTGCGCGCAATTAGCAGACAATGACAGTACCCGTAAAATGACATGTGAATTCACATGTAAATTGTTCTAACGAATTAAATTGTGGTTTGTAAAAGAAAGGTAAAAGCACGAACCTGTAATATTATATTTATTCCTAGTATAAGTTTGGGTTTTTTTTGTCATTTTCACTGTAAATCCAACAACATCTATTGGTCAATATGTCTAGGATCATTAACCTATTCCTAATTAGTATTTTTATCATGTTGCTTATATTATGTGTCATGACCATATCTTTTAATAGTGCAAATACAAATTCATTAATTTTTAAACTTTGAATTATTATTATTTAGATTTATTGCTTGTTTCAATTATAGGCCTATTTTTTGCTGTAATTTTAGATTGCAATTATAAAAAATGAATTAAAATTTCAGTGAGCCTAAGTTACGTAACCCAAAACAAAAATAAAACAACCAAAAATAACCCAAACTCTTTCAGCACTTTTCAAATAATATTTCTCCTGATAGACATGAATCAACAATATCTTCACGGACCATTTACTTCTTTAAGATCACTCCGCATGCAGTACAGCATTATAGGAAATACCAATTGTCGACCTCGCAACGTGATTGGCTTAAAACGTGCTAATTGATTGTCGCGCAACATACTGCCCACATTATTAATCAATTAATTTACAAAATAAAAGTAATGAAGCTTAAGCACTGATGAGTGCAACAACGTGATTGACAAGTGTTAAATATCAATTAATAAAATCCGGAATTACCCAATCGTGCCTCTGACTCCTCCCAATTGAAGCATTTTTACGTAATTTAGTTAATTTTGACAGTCTATCTCTTGATACTGTGCTCTGTGTAGACCTATACCTATAGATAATTTTGGCTTTTCTACTTTAACTTTTATCCTATATCAGCTTTCATTGTATAGCTTTATGGAAGCTTATGATGTTTCTAAGCCAGTTGCAAAACATCCTCAGCTTTCTTTAATTCATTTTCAGTGTAGTTTGTTTTTCCGAAAACATTAATTATCTATTTTTTGTATTATTGATAATGAACTAAAAAGTATAGGTCTAATTTTAGGCAGTAGAATTGACATAAAATAAATGCCAATAAAACCCTATAACAATATCGCAGTGTATATATACATTGAGGTGGAGCTTCTTATTTTATTTTTGTTTGCTACTAGTACTATTTCATTAAATATTGGCATGGAAGCTGACCGCTACTTCTCCTAATCTTAAGATTTGGAAAAGTTGCAGTGGGTTAAAATCTCGTACTTATAGTGTGCATGCTGCTTGGGTTTAGTGCGTAGTATTGGTAATGAGAATCAACTAAATGAATTGCAAGAAAAGTGAAATGACTGATTGATCGATTGAGCGTTGATTGACATGTTTAGAATGTTCTGGGACCATCCCGTATTGATGCGTTGTTATACCTAAACATCGGAGCCCTATCTTTAAGTGACTAATTGCAATCACCGCATGATTTCTCGTTTCGTTTAATTCAGAATTAATTTCAACATGACAATGCGAAATGATTTTATCCAGAATATGTTTAACATGTAGGCCTACTTGTTCTGCTTTATTTTGAGAGTGACGCGCAATGGGAGATTATGTACATCGTTTATAGAAATTGTGTCAAGTTGTAAAGTATGCGTACAATCCTTCCTAGATGCTTCGAAGATTGGTTGTTCAAAAAAGTTTCATCCTTCTGGTAGTCCTTAATGAAAGTTTCAACAAGAAAGCTTGAACAAGCTATAAAAATATTACGCGTCAGATATCGATGTTCATAGCTCACTGTGAGGGAATTCCCAACCACAAATAACGGCAATAATTGTTAGACGAACAACTGAGTTACACAAAACTTAAAGTTGTATCTAGCAACATGGCGGGTAAACAAGCCCTGCATGAGAGCAGACTGTCATGCAAGCCTTACAACTCGGTGCAGACGATCGAATGCGTTACCCAATGCCTGAAATCGAGTCGGCAACCAGCAGGGATCGGCTAGCTGACTCATTGTAGACTTGTCGAGTTTTGATGCGAAGATGAAAATGATGTCAGGGATGCCCAAACGACGGTGGGAGGCAAAGATTATCTCAATTACTGGTTTGAAATCCATGCCAGAGGCACCAAAGAGCGAGACGGTGAACTACTTGAGATGGGTTATGATCAAGGTACCGCTCAACTTCTGTGGCAACTCATATCCAAATTTGGCCTCTACCTACTCTCGTCTGATAATTAATCCGGGTTGTCTCACAATCGATGTCTCAATTAAAACAATTTCGTCATGCAAAAGAACGTGAACTGGACATTACAACATTAATAATCATAATAATAGTATTAATAATGATAATAATAATGGTAATAATAATGTAATATAACTATTAGTAAATTTAGTTATTACATTTACAATTACACTGATTTCGAATTAAAGTTTGAACCTTGCAAGGCTATTTTGGGAATGGTAACCCATTGATTTGCATTGCATAAAAAACATATGACATTGCATGATTTGAAAGTTCAACTTATATATCACAATTATTTAGAAATTAACTTATAGGAATCGCAATTAAATTGCAGTATTTTACCTTAATTTATAGAGTTATTTTATGTACCGGTACTGAGAAAATTTAAAATTGTGGTTCTTTACCATCACTTACTGTAAGAAGAACCTTTCAAAATATATTAAAACTTAGTTTTTTTAATCATTAATATAATTGCTAACATTCAAGGAGATAATGGCCGAATTAAATTATTCTATTTTTGATTTTGATTTTGACTGCAGCCAATTAAAATTTTTACTGTAAAAATATACACGGTTGGCTAATATTTCATTTACTTTTGTTAGGATAATATATTCTCGCTGTAATTTTAAATTGAG